AGGAGGATTTTAAATTCTATTCTGGATTTAACAGGAAGCCAATGAAGATGCAGCTGAATCCTACGTAGCCTTAAATATCCCAGGATTCATTGCAAGTTATCCAGGGGTTAGGGTAAGCCCTAACCAACCTAATTTGGTCAGGGCTTACCCTAAAGCAGGGCATCCTGGGGGTCAGCACCAGCCTTTCCTTGGTTCTAGATCTGAGGGCTCAGATCCAAATGTCAAAGCGGTTCCGGTCCCCTGTCTGAGTTCAGATTAAACAGAACCTCTCCGGTTCTCGTTCTCTTTTCAGGAATCATTTCCCAGAACCAGCAGCACTCAGAACCTGAAGCATCCTGGAACACCTGGAGACAGGGCCTTCCAGGACGTCCTTCCACAGATGGAGAAGTCCAGGACCAGCGAGCTGTCCCCCGTGGACGGAGTCTTGAGCATGCTGCCCCAGCTGGGAGACTCTGAGGAGAAGCAGCGACATGTAAGACAGACGTCTTCATCATCCTCTTCCTCTTCTTCCTCCTTCTGAGGATCAGTCACCTTCATCTCTGCTTCTCCCGTCCAGCGTCTGTGGCTCCGTCAGCGGATCCTTCAGCAGCAGCACCAGAAGTTTGCTCTGCAGCAGGAGAAAGATCAGCTGGAACGGGCCCCCGGTCCACCCGGTCCACCCGGTCCCCCCGGTCCTGATACTCCTCTTCACAGCTGGTCCTCCGCACCGCCTGCAGACCCATTTGGACGTCCTCCCCCGCCTTACCCCGGCACAGGGCCGCCTCCTGCCCCAAGGTTTACTGGGCTCCCCCCCAGCGAGTCCCCCTTCCACAGACAGAACCCCCTTAGAGATCACGCTGTGAGGTGAAGATGATCCCAAACTGAACAGAGAGCGATGGCGTCCCTTGGAACTGTTGGTTTCACAGCTTGTGGTTCTTTCCAGGTTTGGCGTTCCTCCAGTGGGCCTTACTGACCCCTCAGGGCGTCCGCCTGGAGCGGCTCCAGTGGTCCAGATGAGGAGACCTGTTGCAGCAGAGTTCAGGAGGACTGGGCCCATGGTGCCTCCCAACACGGCCTCGCAGCTGGTTCCAGGTCAGAACTGCTGACTCAACTAGAACTGTTCGGGGTTCTGAAGGCTCTCAGTTCATGTCCCATCTTGGTCCTCATCTCTGATCCAGGCGGCGCCATGCCCTACATCGAGCTCCGGCACCGCGCCCCAGAAAACCGTCTTAGGCTGCCCTTTCCGGTACCGCCGACCCCAGAGCAACAGCAGGCGACTGCCCAGTCCGCCGCAGTGCAGCCCGGGCTGGTCAGGACTGGGGAGACTGGACTGGGCCAGCTGGACCAGCATCACCTGGGTGCTCTCCCTGGTTCTGATCCGATAGAGGAACACCTGGATTCAGCCGTGAAGGACCTAGAGGACGTAGAAGTGAAGGACCTTGTGGACTTGAATCTGAACCTGGACCCAGAGGATGGTATGAGCCCAGAACCAGAACCGGTTCCATGTGTCCTGCACGCTTTTTACAGAACCTCTGTCTGTGTGGTTCTGCTCTAGGTAAAGAAGATCTAGACCTGCATCTGGATGACTTCCTGCTAACGGGGAAGTTCGACCTGATTGCCTACGCTGACCCAGAGCTCAACCTGGAGGACAAGAAGGACATGTTCAATGAGGAGCTGGACCTAGGGGAGCCGGCGGAGGACAGGGAACCGGGCCGCGGCGGCGGGAAGGTGGATGGCGCCGCCCAGGTGAAACAAGAGGTGAGGGAAGCGAAGCAGACTGAAGGAAATGCCGCAGCTTCTAGCAGACCTCCATCATCATCATCACCTCCTCCCATGAAGGTAGGTGATTGGCTGCTGCATCATGTGGACCAATCAGAGCTGCTGTTTATGCTGAACTGCATCTCTCTTCAGGAGAAGCAGGCGGGCTCCGGTTCTGGTCCAGCTGTCCGACCGCAGGAGCAGGTTCTGTCCTCCGTTCATCGCTTGATGTCTCCAGGTAAGCCCAGAACATCTGCTGCACAGGATGACGAAGGGTACTTGATGATGATGATGATGAGTCCATGTCCCCGTCCGTCTCCAGGACAGCCATCTGTCTTCCATCAGCACCAGAGACTGCTTGGAACCGGACCAATTTCCAGGACTCAGTGCCCAGTTCTTGGGGGTCCAGCTTCTCAGGCTCCGCCCACCGTGGCTCCGCAGCCTCCGCTCCTTCCAACCCCCCAGAACCAAACTCTTCATCCAACCAGCGAAACCCAGACTGGGAGCGTAACCAGCTTTCCTGAAAACCAGAACAAGTCCAGGCCTCTGCTGCTGGAGGAGCAGCCGCTGCTTCTGCAGGACCTGCTGGACCAGGAGCGGCAGGAGCAGCAGCAGCAGAAACAGATGCAGGCCTTGATCCGCCAGAGACCTGGACCGGAGGCCGGATTCTCCGTGGGTAAGACCAGAACCCCATCAGGCCTGGATGCTTTAAACCAGAACATCCTGATCTGACTCAGAACCCAAACAGAACTTTCAGCTGGGTAGTTTGGTTCCAGGCGCTACAGACTTCTGGTTCTGTGTTGTTCAGATTTGGAGTCGGTCTCTGACCCGATCATGAAGGCCAAGATGCAGGCTCTGAAAGGAATCAACCGGGTGATGAGTCAGGGGACCCTGGGCCTGACCCCCATGGTCATCAACAGGTACCCACCTTTTCCTTTCAACCTTCTGGTTCCATATCTGTTCTGGACTCTTTATGTTCTATTTGAACAGGTTGCAGCAGACCCCAGGGGCCCCGGGCCCCGAGTTACCTTCTCCGTCTCCCCTCCAAGCAGGACAGGTAGGCAGCTTCCGCTACCGACCCGCAGAACCCAGATTCTTCCCTCAACAATAAAGCTCTTGTTTCTGTTTCAGGACGGGAAGAAGAACCCTCAGCTGGTGCGACGCAACCCCCCCAGCTTTGGACCCGGCTTCATCAGTGAGCATCAGAACCGCAGCAGCCGGTCCGATAATTAGGGAGATCAGAACCGCAGCAGCCGGTCCGATA